GTCCAAATCAGGGTCCAAAATTAAACTTTGTTTGATTCAACAAAAATTGAATTTATGGGGTTCTTTGAAATGCTGAATCTAACCATGTATTGAGAGATTTTGGATTGTGGGCTCCTTTTATCAAATTGGTCCACATTGAGGTCCAAAGGGTCCTAGATTAAATGTTTGTCTGATTTCATCAAAAATTGAATTCTTGGGGTTCTTTGATATGCTGATTCTAATATGTACTTAGATTTTTGATATTGGACCATAATAGGTATTTAAATGTCCAATTTCAAATATATTAGTTCTTTGACTACATTCATTTTGTGTCACAAACCTATGATGTGTCAAATTTTCAATCACAATCCAAATTCAGAGCTGTTTTAAGTTTAAATGTAGTGTCCATACTTGCTCAACTGTTCAGGGTTCGACCTCTGCAGGAAAATCCCGTTTGCTGTCTCTCTGACAGCCTCTTGTTTTCTTTATCTTGAAAATATTTTCACGAATTGTGTTCATTATGTTGTTATTTATTTCATTTGGTTCATTGTGTATACTTGGGCAATAATACAATTTGTTTTTATCCATGACGAATAAAAGTAATATTTGATCAATTCACTGCCTATATTGTATTCAGGAGAAAGACTGAAAGCAAATATATACATTTCCCTTCTCTTTCAGCTATATATTCTAAATGCAGTTTCAATGTTTTGTTTTATGTTTTTATGCAGAGCCTACGATATTATGCCTTGCCTATGATAGAAGTGGGCATGATGTTTTCTGGTATGTGCATGTGTGTGTCTGACTGTTGTCTCGAAACAAGATAAAGTTTTGAAGCTTGAAGCTTGATGCACATGTTCATTAAAAAGATTATGATATGAACTTTAAAAATTATACGCCAAATAAGTATTTTGACCCCAATTACATTGTTCACTGTACTAAGAAATGTGATAGTGGTAAATTAGTACATTCCTAGGTTATAGTTCTTGGTTAATGTAGTTAACTAGGAAGTTTTGGTCACATCAACGTTAACTTGAAACTTAGTACTGCTACACATGTTCATTGTGAGGTAAACTTAAAGAAATATAAGAAAAACAATGATTTTGACCCTGATTTCACAGTGCACTGAACATGGACATATAAAAGTGTGAGGGGGAACATTGTCCTATGGTCACATATTCTGGTTGAAACAAAGTTTCATCAGCAATTTAATACATGTACATCATTTTGTGGTATCGAAAGTTCCCAAAACTTATTTTTAGATTAATTTAAGACTTAAGATTGTATGGAATTGTAAAGAAGTTTGGTCGATTGACAATCTTACCAAAAGACATTAAAAACCAACATATAATATATCTTAAACAACAATGTGATGAACTTCAGCTAATAACATTATACAATAGAATTGATATTTTGTAATGGGTGATAATACCATGTACTTGATATTAAATAAAGCATCTCTATATGACATTTGTTCTGTTGCTAGTGTAATTTCTGACTCATAGATAAGCTGCTTATTGTACAAGCCCCTTTTGTCAGTTTGTAAAAGGTACATGCAGCATTAACTTTTCAATTAATATTAGACATTCAGGTACTATTTTATCTGTAAAAAAATTGGATAATTCTATCGAACTTGATCTGTTTGTCAATTTTCTGTTCTGACTTAACTGTGGAGTCAATCAATTCTTCTCATGCAAGGAAATAAATGTCAGTGTATTATGTTATTATGTCCATATAAGAACTCTCAGAGTTCAGTACAAAAATGGAAAAAAAATCCTAGTTTCGCACATTATAACAGTTTGTGTTCCCTTGTAATCAACATTAAATACTCAAACCATTTTGAGGTAATAGTCTGCCATTCTAGTTAACTATATATGTGTCATTTCTGAATTATGAATGTTCTATTTTTAAAATATGATGGATCAGTGTATTATATGTTTTTGTTTGCACTTATTTTTTTACTAGATTGACAACAATTTTTTCCATAAGTGGTTAATTTTTTTATTGAGAAAGTGAGACAGTAATCCTAGATTCCGTCTTTGATAGCGTCAACATTTAGGTTCAGTCTGTGGTTAAAGTTTTTGTCGAGCTTTCGACTTTAGTCGAAAAAGTGAGACATAGCGATCCTACATTCCGTCGGCGTCGTCGTCGTCGTCGTCGTCGGCGGCGTCCACAAATATTCACTCTGTGGTTAAAGTTTTTGAAATTTTAATAACTTTCTTATACTATCCTGGATTTCTACCAAACTTGGACAGAAGCTTGTTTATGATCATAAGATAGTATCCAGAAGTAAATTTTGTAAAAATAAAATTCCATTTTTTCCGTATTTAACTTATAAATGGACTTAGTTTTTCTGCCGGGAAATATTACATTCACTCTGTGGTTAAAGTTTTTAAAATTTTAATAACTTTCTTAAACTATCCTGGGTTTGTACCAAACTTGGACAGAAGCTTGTTTATGATCATAAGATAGTATCTAGAAGTAAATTTTGTAAAAAAATAAATCCATTTTTTCCTTATTTTACTTTTAAATGGACTTAGATTTTCTGCTGGGAAACAACACATTCACTCTGTGGTTAAAGTTTTTAAAATTTTAATAACTTTCTTATACTATTTTGGATTTGTACCAAACTTGGACAGAAGCTTGTTTATGATCAAAAGCTAGTATCTAGAAGGAAATTTTGTAAAAACATAAATCCATTTTTTTCGTATTTTACTTTTAAATGGACTTAGATTTTCTGCCAGGAAACAACATATTCACTCTGTGGTTAAAAGTTTTTAAAATTTTAATAACTTTCTTATACTATTTTGGATTTGTACCAAACTTGGACAGAAGCTTGTTTATGATCAAATGCTAGTATCTAGAAGGAAATTTTGTTTTTTGCAGTTAACATTACATTCAGTCTACAGTTAAAGTTTTTAAACATTTATTAGATTCATAAACTATCCTGGATTTTTACCAAACTTGGGCATAAGCTTCCTACAATCAAAAGATAGTATCAAGAGGAATATTTTTATTGATTTACTTCCTCATTTTTGTTGAGCCTGCGATTAACAGAAAAAGTAGGCGAGACACTGGGTTCCGCGGAACCCTTACAAATTTTTTTAGACATCAATAACTTTGTCAAACTTTCATGGAATTTTAGGAAATTTGGACAGAAACTTGTTTATGACCAAAATACAGTATCCAGAGCAAAATTTTGAAAATATTTATTTTCATTTTTCCTTATTTTACTGATAAATGGACTTAGTATTTTTTACTTTTAACAAATAGATACAGTCTGGGGTTAAAGTTTGTTTCGCATCAAAAACTTGGACAGAAGCTAATCTTCAAGTCCATGAAATAGCATTTTATAAAAGAATTTGATTTTTTTTTTTAAATTCTGTATTTTACAGATAAATGGACTCACTTTGTAAGTCAACAATACACTTTCACTCTGACAGCAGCAATCGCAGGTGAGACACAGGGTTCCATGGAACTCCTTACAAATTTTTATTATAACATACTGAGAAGTGAGGGAGATTAGCTTAGATTTTTGCCATGTTCTCACAACATTCTTTGCCTATTCGTCTACCAGTATTTTCTTTTTGTTTCTTCATCTCATTATTTTTTGTTTGCCCTCTTTGTACATATTGTATTTACTTACCTTTTTTTTAATACCAACCATCCAACTAGGCACTTATAGAGCACCAATGTTGGATTTGTAGGTTGTTCTATAAGTAAGTATCTGACTATCATATGTTTTCATGATAAGCAGACATAAAGACAAATCAAATTTTGTTTTTGTTTTGAAAAAGCGAAAAGTTAAGCATGCAGTTTCTGGCAGCGTCAACAATGTATTAATTTGTGATTATGTTAGTTTAAGAAGAACTGCTAGTGGTAGGTCAATAATATTTGGCATGCAGTTGTATAAGAATGGGTACATCTCATTTGCCCCCTCAGTCATGGTCTATTGACTTTAAAATGTTTGCATAGTTTACATGTTAAAGTTTGTGATAAGGTCAGTGTATGATGAAGCACTTATGGTAAGTCAATGATATTTGATATGCAGCTGTATTAGCATATGCTCTTCTCATTTCCATGGAGTTTATATGGTCCTGCCCCCTCATCATGGTTTATTGCTTTTGAAACTTTTGCATGGTTAACATGTTATAGTGTGTGTTTAGGTAAGTTTAAAGGGAACTGCTGATGATAAGTCAATGATATTTGGTATGCAGTTGTATTTAAGCATTGCCATTTCTGATTTCCAAGGAGATTTTTGGCCCTTAACATTCAGTCATGGTTCATTGACTTTAAATGTTTTGCATATTTTAATTAAAATATATCCATTTTAGTTTCAACATTTGCATTTAACGATAAAAAATATATACATAGGCAAGACATATCTCTGTCAACAGTTTATTTTTATCAACCACTGAGTTCATAGTTTTAAATTTTTTAAAACTCAATTGTCAATGGCCTGTTAGGTCATATTCACATAAGGATGAAAGCTAGAAGTCACAAAAACAATGACTTGACAGCAATGCCTTAACAGCACTCTCATACTTTAGATTTCATATTTCCATATAATTTTGAAATGTTCATTATAGACAATTTTTTTATTTTTAGGACACATTTTGTGCAACCTGGCAATTCGAGTCTTTGATATTCATATTTCATGTATTTGTATCCAAGATGAATTTTTTTTTTAAAAATACAAATAAATTTTTTTATTATTCCTTAATTAAAGATTAGATTTCAAGAAAAAGAATTACAAAATCACCCCACCATACTTTAACAGTTAACGGAAAACATCAAAAACCAGGAGATAATTTAAATGACCTAGAACAAATTGAAGCTTTTAAACACTGTATTTTTCTACAAAGTTCCCTTAAAAAAATTATTTATGTTTACTTTTAAATTATTGTTATACATATATAAAGAATGGTCCAGTGAATCTATGTTAATTATATCTCAATATTAAAGAAAAAATGAAATTCAAGTATGTGCATGTTAATGATTTATCTTAATTTTTATTTCAGGTTAATTCATACATACATACATGTCTCAGGTTAATGAACATCAAACAGTCACAAAATACAAGGTAAGTTGGGCTGTGGTGTATAGCAGTTGTTGGTAGAAGTCTGTAGGGTAAGGTAGTATGTTCACATATTATTACAATTGTTGGTAGAAGTCTGTAGGGTAAGGTTGAATGTTCACATATTATTACAATTGTTGGTAGAAGTCTGTAGGGTAAGGTTGAATGTTCACATATTATTACAATTGTTGGTAGAAGTCTGTAGGGTAAGGTTGAATGTTCACATATTATTACAATTGTTGGTAGAAGTCTGTAGGGTAAGGTAGTATGTTCACATATTATTACAATTGTTGGTAGAAGTCTGTAGGGTAAGGTTGTATGTTCACATATTATTACAATTGTTGGTAGAAGTCTGTAGGCTAAGGTAGTATGTTCACCAGGGATGGGGTAATCGTAATCTGTAATCGTAATCGATTGTAATTGATTACATTTTTTCCAGTAATCGACAGTAATCTGTAATCGAAGATATTTTCGATTACATGTAATCGTAATTTAATCGATTACAGCAAAAATTATGATGTAATCATCGATTACTTTTCGATTACATTTCGATTACTTTGGTAAAATAGCTTGATGAAATATAATCTATATTATATGAAAGTATGTATGTATTCATCACTTTATAGTACAGATAAAAATAAAATGTATTGATATGACTTAAGAGTTTATCAAATGCCTTGTTTCTATCTATTGGCTCCAGCTGCTTCAACCAGATCTATCAAATTATACTGTATATCTAGCTTTTGAAACAAATGACTTTTCTTGCTGGTCAATAATTTAAGACCTTTTATATAAAAATAAGAAAATAGATTTAAATAAGAAATAAGTCTTTAGTTAAAATCTGTACTATATTGCAGTAGTAAGCTTATTTGTATTAAAATTCCTTAAAGCATAATTTTCAATAATAGTTGGAATTTTAGCTTAGAATAGATAAACATTTGATTCATTATAATGTTATGACATAAAAATTACAAAGTACACGAAATCCTTTTGACAATGAATCAATGGCTATGCATTAAAATTCTTGTTCAGAAATAGAGATACATGTATCCAATTTTTGCACATAAAATATAAATTGTTTATAATTTTGAAATGAGAATACAAAATTCTCAACAAACTTCTTGTCTTTACTAATCAGATGAACAAAGACTTCTAATCAATAAGATGAAGACTTTGTTTTGATTTCAATTATGTCTAATTAAGAGGAGAATTACATTATATTGCCCCCGGTTATAATTGTACTCCATTGGCAGTATTATAGCCTGTAATTAGGGAGGTTGTCAAAACAAAAGGATTAATTCATGCATATAATTACAAATCATAAATTTTCATCTCTAAAATTAGCTGAACTAATTAATTATTCTACTTTTCATACGCCCGTTCACGGGACGTATTATGGTATACCTCTGTCTGTCCGTCCGTCCGTCCGTCCGTCCGTCTGTCCGTCGTCAACATGTCGGACATTAACTCAAAAATGCTTTAACCAATTTGCATAAAACTTTGGTGAATTGTTTATATCTATTGACGTGAGCTCCCTTTTGTTTTTTATAAAATTTAGATTTTACGTTTCCGAGTTATGGGGTTTTATTCATTAAAAAAAGGGGGATTTTCCAGTTTTCGGACAATAAGTCAAGAATGCTTTCATCAACTTGCAAGAAATTGTGGTGAATTGTTTATATCTATTAAAATGAGCTCCCTTTCGATTTTTATAAGTTTTAGATTTTATGTTTCCGAGTTACAGGGTTTTATTCATAAAAAAGGGGGGATTTTCCAGTTTTCGGACAAAAACTCAAAAATGCTTTCAGTAATTCTTATGAAACTTTGGTGGATTGTTTGTATGTATTGATGTAAGCTCCCTTTAGAATTTTATAAATTTTACATTTTACATTTCTGAGTTGTGGGGTTTTATTCATTAAAAAAGGGGTGATTTTCCAGTTTTCGGACAATAACTCAAAAATGCTGTCACCAATCCTCATGAAACATTGGTGAATTGTTTATATCTATTGATGTAAGCTCCCTTTTTATTTTCATAAATTTCTAATACGACATTGAGAATTAATTGAACTTTATTTGTTAATAGTCTGACAACAGATTTACTAAGTATTGCACAACAGCAAGAAATCTTTAATTGAATATAAATTCAATTCATATAACCAATTTCAAGATCTTTGACTTCATTTATTCAGAAACCTATAATATGTCAAATATTTAATTACAATCCAAATTCAGATCTGAATCAAGCTTGAATATTGTGTCCATTTTTTCCCCAACTGTTCAGGGTTGGACCTCTGCGGGCGTATCTAGCTGCGCTCAGCGAAGCAGTTTATTTTTATAGTTTTTTTTCAGAGTAAACTTTCAACATTGTAATGAACTATATTCAAATATAGCTGTTAATAATGAGTAAAAACAAAAAACTTAACTTTAGTCAGTATGACAGCAAAAATATGCAAAAATATGGAGATAATAACCTAAAATATAAAGAAGTGATGGATGCAATGTGATGCCATTGCAAGAACTTTATCACCAATCATTCATATTGAAAACCAAAATTTCTAGAATTTTTGAATATTTCGGATCCTTAGACAGTAAGAGCTTCCATCTAGAAAACAACTGTCAACATAAAATTTGGAAACAATGCTTTAAATGCTATTTTTGTAAAGTTCAAAATTTCCACTATACATACATTGAACAACATAATTGACTTTGTGTTTAACTTACTTTATTTAATTTGTAATTTTGTAGCATGTAATTGACAGTAATCGAAAAGTAATGTAATTACTTTTGCTAATCAGAGTAATCGATTACATTTGTCAGTAATCGTGCCCATCCCTGATGTTCACATATTATTACAATTGTTGGTAGAAGTTTAGGGTAAGGTTGTATGTTCACATATATATTATTACAATTGTTGGTAGAAGTCTGTAGGGTAAGTTTGTATGTTCACATATTATTACAATTGTTGGTAGAAGTCTGTAGGCTAAGGTAGTATGTTTACATATTATTACAATTGTTGGTAGAAGTTTAGGGTAAGGTTGTATGTTCACATATTATTACAATTGTTGGTAGAAGTTTAGGGTAAGGTAGTATGTTCACATATTATTACTATTGTTGGTAGAAGTTTGTAGGGTAAGTTATGTATGTTCACATATTATAACGATTGTTGAACAATTTAAATAATATCATAGCAAAAATAGATAAGGCGGCTTTGTATATAGTTGACTTGTGACTTTTGTGTAAAAAACGAAGTATGTCCAGTGCATGATAATTTATCGATATTGTCAACATCGCTATGTCTACTATATTGTGTCATTATTGTGTTTACATTGTATTGTATCTATACCTTGTGTTTACATTGTATTGTATCTATACCTTGTGTTTACATTGTATTGTATCTATACCTTGTGTTTACATTGTTTACATAGTAGACATTGTGATATTGTATAACAAGTCTATACCTTTGCGTTTATATCAATCACATCACATCGTAGACATTGTGATGTTGACAATAGCGAGTAAACATTGTGTTTAAATTGTATACCAAGTCTAAACCTTTGTGTTTACATCGCTCACATTGTTGACATCGCGATGTTACAATAGCGAGTCAACATTGTGTTCATATTGTATGCTTAGTCTATACTTTTGTGTTTATATCATTTACATCGTAGACATCGCTATGTTAACAATAGCTAGTCATCATCGTGTTAATATTGTATACCGAGTCTATACCTTTCTGTTTATATTGTTTACATTTTAGACAACGTGATTTTAACAATATCCTGTCAACATTGTCATTATATTGTATACTGAGTCTACCTTTCTGTTTAAATTGTTCAAATTGTCAACATCACGATGATGACAATATCGTGTCAAAAACGTGTCAACATCGTGATTATATTTTTCCCGAGTCTAAACCTTTGTGTTTACATCGTTCTTATCGTCATGTGAGAAATAAAAAAGAATCCCAGTGTTAGTCCCCTAGCTAAGCTTATGTTGATGTCAGTACATGTACCTACAAAAATTATTAATTCAATGGTTCTAATTAATAATCATTTTGTTTATTATGTAATACTTACGAATTTGCTATTTATCTGTAAAAGTTTTGTGCATAAGAAACTAAAAACGAAATAAAAAGAAATTCATTTAAATAAAATATTCATATTCATGAAATAGTTATGTTCTTAAGGCATTTTACTGCCATATTACTGCCAAAAATAATTGATTTTTATTTACACTTTTAAAATTTGATATTATTGTTTGATAAGCATTAATTGAAAAATTAATGAGGAAAGTCGCCTTTAATTGGTAATATCTCCTATAATTAGTCATAAATGTAAACGATGTAAACACGATATTGTTAATACATTGCTAATATCACGAAGTTAACGATGTAAACGATGTAAACGATGTAAACAGTATGTAAGAGTTCATACAATATAATGATGTTGACACAATATCATGAACACTGCAATGTAAACAATGTAAACACGTTATTGATAATACCTTGTTGATATCATGATGTAAACATGTAAACACGATATCGCTACTACATTGTATACATCACGATATTAACGATGTCAACGATGTAAACAGTATATAAGTTTTCTTACAATGTTTGTTGACATGGTATCGTGTTAACATGGTAAATATCGCGATGTTGACAATATTGTTTTGACATTGTGCACTGGACATGGATGTAAAAAACATGACATGAGTAACATATTTCAATTTCTTTCACTTTTTCTCTATTTGTCATGGGTTGTACAAGAAATTTTTCTAACTCATCTGGTCTTGAATATGCATGAAATAATTGCCACTAGGTGTTAAGCAAACACCAATCATTCAATCAGAACCCATCAAGATTATGGTCTGTAGGTTAGTTTTAGAAAATACTAATCTTATTTGAAGGGAGGTGTGGTGCCATAAAAACCTGCTTTAACCCACCACTTTACCTTGGAAATTCAGGAATTTTAAGGGAGGTTTAGTGTCATAAAAACCTGCTTTAACCCAAAACTTTACATTGGAGTATTAGGAATTTGAAGGGAGGTATGGTGTCTTAAAAACCTGCTTTAACCCACCACTTTACCTTGGACTGTTAGGAATTTAAATTAAGGTTGGATGCCATCAAAACCGGCTTTAACCCACCACTTACCTTGGAGAGTCGGGAATTTGAAGTTAGGTTTGGTGCCATAAAACTTACTTTTACCCACCGCTTTACCATGGAAAGTCAGGAAATCGAAGGTAGGTTTGGTGCTATAAAACCTGCTTTAACCCACCACTTTATCTTGGAAAGTCAGGAATTTGAAAGGAAGTTTGGTGCCTTAAAACCTGCTTTAGGTGTAATACCACCATTGATTTTCCCCTATTAGTCTTTGTTAAATTTGCACTTTTCAAAAAATTGTGCAGAATTTATCTTTGTTTCAAATAAAGAAATACTTGGCATGAGTAAAGTTTTATCCTGTCCAGTACTATAGAAAAAATTTCACATAACATTTCATTGCATATAAGAAAATAACCATCACTGGAAGTTAACCAATCAAATTTTCCCCCTTTTTTAACCTGTATACAAGCTTTAGTAACCATGTAACCTCAAGTTTCCAAAATATTCTATAGAAACCCCAAATAAAAAAATAATGGTGCTTTGAAATACCCAAGATATATGTTTATGACCCAGAAATGATTTACTGCAATGAAATGTAGGATCAATTACCTACAACTGTCAAATTCAAGGGAATATTTTTTTTCGACCTATTTTCGTATGCAACCGGATGTGACGTACTATGATTTGGTGGTATTACACCTAAAGAAGACTTTTTTGTTAAATAAACTGAATGTGACTTTTTTCCTTTGTAATACTGGTTATTTCAAGCATTCCTGTCAAGTTTTGTCATAATCAGTTCAATAGTTTGAGAAAAATCTAGTATAATGTAAGATGACATCTACAGCGATTCGAGCAAAATTTCTTCGAAAAATCCAAACCAAGCCGCATCATGATAGAATATAGTGTGGACCAATAAATGATCAAATATTTATCTCATCTGCCTACAAACAGTTGAATATGATACAAAAGATGACTTTAGGATGATAAATACTACTAATGGACCTCTTTGTCTTCCTTATAAGGTCTCTTTTGGTCCATTTATACCTCTCATTTCCTCAAAATTTCTACTTTTTAGGCCAATAAATAAAAATTTTAGGGTAACTTTCACTCATTTATGATAGAAATGTTATAATAAATGATTAATTGAAGTATTCAATCTGAATGAACTATCCGTATAAAAGTTTACTGTCTCCAAGGAGGTTTCGATAAGTCCTTACGTAAAACTTAAATTTACGCCACGTTCCAGAGAGGGACATAAAAAGCTTCTCTTTTGGTGAATAATTTGTTGTTACTGCTTTAAAAATAATTTCATTTACTTAAAACTATATATTTATTAAAGTATTTCTTAGGAAAAATTTTCTAGTATAGCAGAATATAAGAAATAAGGAGAAAAAGCTCCCCAAAGCTCTAAGTATGGCTTGTTCTGTCAACTAATATTCATGGTAAAGTCCTATTTCAAGGAAATTTTCTCATAAAATGTGTTTTGGAGACTCAATCCACTCAGAATATTTCATTATTTGTAATATTTCACTTGAATAGCAAGAAATTTTAACACATGAGAGTACTCACAAGGTCAAAGGTGCATGTACAGCTTCCCATATAAGGGTAGTACCACCATTGATTTTCCCCTATTAGTCTTTGTTAAATCTGCACTTTTCAAAAAATTGTGCAGAATTTATCTTTGTTTCAAATAAAGAAATACTTGGCATGAGTAAAGTTTTATCCTGTCCAGTACTATAGAAAAAATTTCACATAACATTTCATTGCATATAAGAAAATAACCATCACTGGAAGTTAACCAATCAAATTTTCCCCCTTTTTTAACCTGTATACAAGCTTTAGTAACCATGTAACCTCAAGTTTCCAAAATATTCTATAGAAACCCCAAATAAAAAAATAATGGTGCTTTGAAATACCCAAGATATATGTTTATGACCCAGAAATGATTTACTGCAATGAAATGTAGGATCAATTACCTACAACTGTCAAATTCAAGGGAATATTTTTTTTCGACCTATTTTCGTATGCAACCGGATGTGACGTACTATGATTTGGTGGTATTACACCTAAAGAAGACTTTTTTGTTAAATAAACTGAATGTGACTTTTTTCCTTTGTAATACTGGTTATTTCAAGCATTCCTGTCAAGTTTTGTCATAATCAGTTCAATAGTTTGAGAAAAATCTAGTATAATGTAAGATGACATCTACAGCGATTCGAGCAAAATTTCTTCGAAAAATCCAAACCAAGCCGCATCATGATAGAATATAGTGTGGACCAATAAATGATCAAATATTTATCTCATCTGCCTACAAACAGTTGAATATGATACAAAAGATGACTTTAGGATGATAAATACTACTAATGGACCTCTTTGTCTTCCTTATAAGGTCTCTTTTGGTCCATTTATACCTCTCATTTCCTCAAAATTTCTACTTTTTAGGCCAATAAATAAAAATTTTAGGGTAACTTTCACTCATTTATGATAGAAATGTTATAATAAATGATTAATTGAAGTATTCAATCTGAATGAACTATCCGTATAAAAGTTTACTGTCTCCAAGGAGGTTTCGATAAGTCCTTACGTAAAACTTAAATTTACGCCACGTTCCAGAGAGGGACATAAAAAGCTTCTCTTTTGGTGAATAATTTGTTGTTACTGCTTTAAAAATAATTTCATTTACTTAAAACTATATATTTATTAAAGTATTTCTTAGGAAAAATTTTCTTGTATAGCAGAATATAAGAAATAAGGAGAAAAAGCTCTCCAAAGCTCTAAGTATGGCTTGTTCTGTCAACTAATATTCATGGTAAAGTCCTATTTCAAGGAAATTTTCTCATAAAATGTGTTTTGGAGACTCAATCCACTCAGAATATTTCATTATTTGTAATATTTCACTTGAATAGCAAGAAATTTTAACACATGAGAGTACTCACAAGGTCAAAGGTGCATGTACAGCTTCCCATATTAAATAGGTGTAATACCACCATTGATTTTCCCCTATTAGTCTTTGTTAAATCTGCACTTTTCAAAAAATTGTGCAGAATTTATCTTTGTTTCAAATAAAGAAATACTTGGCATGAGTAAAGTTTTATCCTGTCCAGTACTATAGAAAATATTTCACATAACATTTCATTGCATATAAGAAAATAACCATCACTGGAAGTTAACCAATCAAATTTTCCCCCTTTTTTAACCTGTATACAAGCTTTAGTAACCATGTAACCTCAAGTTTCCAAAATATTCTATAGAAACCCCAAATAAAAAAATAATGGTGCTTTTTAACCATCAATTTACATGATGTATAGCAGTCTTTTTAAAGGCTTGTTGTTTTGTAACAGAGGAGCAATCATCCTTAAGAAAAAATTGTTTGTTTTCTTTTTTGTCAAATATATCACATGACAATTAAATATGCAACAAATGTCACTGCAAAATATAAAACGTTTGACACAGGACTGATAAATTAGTGAAATATTTATAACCAGTGTAATTAAGGTACCAAGTACATCAAGATTCTTAAAAGTTTTATTACGAATTACAAAAATAAAATACATCCCACATTTAACAACATAACATCAATTATTCCATGAAATTGTATAATATACATGAAAAAACAGCATCTGTTTAATAATAATTATGTACTAGATTCCCGATATTTGAGATATTAATGATTGTATTTCCATTGATTTGCCATTACTAGGATGAAATTTCACTGGTTTTCTACCATTTATAGCTCAATATCTAGATACATATATAAACAAAGGTATCATTTTCTACTGTAATTAATAAAATGAATTGACATTTTGATGACTGTAATTACTGGGGTAAAATTTACATTGTTCCCACATGTTTGCTACAACTGATAAACAACATTTAGATTTCTGATTTTACTTACAAATTTGAATGATTTATTTTATTTTGATATGTTCCCTGATATCCGAAATAACTCATCAGAAAATAGTCCCAACTGGATGAATTTTTGTGGCTTTTAGATTTTAATGATTCATAATTGTTATTTCCGACAGCTACTTGTCACCATCAGTGAATTTTATTTGTTCTGCAGTCCAATAGATCATTGTCTCCTGAAATTTGATTATTTGGTTAATCATCATTAGAATTTGGGATTATTTATGGCCCAAAATTTTTCTACTGGCGTAGGTTTAAAACTTAGTGAAATATCTCTAGTTTAGGAAAACATAAAGGTATAATGTTATTTGTGTCATGATGTTCAAATGATTAGTTTATTATCTACAGTTAGGTAAAAATACTGCTTGACTTTCTGCAATATTTGCATCAGAAAATACTTGCACATTCAGGGATCCACAAATTGTTATAGGCTATTATAAATGTATTAAATTGATTAGTTTTGTAAAATATAAAGTTGATCATTGCATGTCGGGGTACTCTCTTAGAAGGCATGGGAATTGAGCAAACACTATACAAATTCCTTAAGTTCTTCAAATAAAAGTTTTGTTAATGTCATCTTACTGTGAAAAACCTGTTTTTTGTTTCCCCTTAGGAAGTTGCAGAACGAGACTTATGCATGCTGTTTCTGGTGACACCAACTTCAGTTGTGTTAAAGATAAGTTAAAGTTTGTGATTGGATCAGTTTGAAGAGAGACACTAATGGTAAGTCAATGATATTTAACATGTTGTTATATTACCATTGGCACATCTCATTTCCATGGAGTTTATATGGTCTTACCCTCTTAGTCATAGTCTATTGACTATGAAACCTCTGCTTAGTTTACATATTAAAAGTTTGTGCTTAGGTCAGTTTAAGATGAAACCCTTATAGTAAGTCAAAGATATTTGGTATGCTGTTGTATTAGCAATTGCACATTTCATTTCCATTGAGATTGTATTGCCCAAATTGTAAATAACTCACAAAATTAAAAGACATCTAGAGGTAAACATATGGTCTTCGACAATAAAAAAAGTGTCTATTCAACATGTCAAGAGTCTATAAAAGAAATGAAAAAATTTAACAGAGACTATCAGACACTCCAACACCAGTGGTGAATATAACAGGCATATTCTATTCACATGCTTATTTATTTATTTATCATTTACTTTTAATCATTTTGTGTGACAAATAAGTACACCACATTCTCTTTTCCATTAATTTATAATTTATTTATTGGTTCCTATTTTATCATAATGCTCTGGTCACAACTCAGTTAAAGATCCTCTTGTACACCTTGAATTTGCATGTATTATTTGTTGGAGAAGTTAAGCTAGATATGGAAGTTTTAGTTAAGAATGCATTTTAGAATCTTAAGAAATATATAATTCACGATCTGTTGTATTTTGTAATAAATTTGGTAAATTAACCACTTTAAATGTATAATGTTTGTTCTTGGAAAACTTAAAGTTTATTTCAGATAGAATCTAAATTCAGTAGTCTATAGATTATCATTACACAAGGAAGTTTATATATAGGGTCCTTTAACTTATCAGGAAATGAATACATGATTCAAACTTTTTATATAGCGAAACAATTGTTTATTACTTCTTGAGTTGGTCACATAAATTTTCTTGCTATACAGGTAAGGTTTATCTCCTTAGTATACTAGGTAATATTGAAACATAAGTCAGTTAATATTGTAAGTAATATTTCAACTTTAATTTATTTACATTGCATATTGTTTTATTAAAGCTGATTTATACTTCCCTGATTTAATACATGTAATATTAACCAGCATGTCAATCTCTTCGTCTAAATCTCAATACCAATGTAGTGCATAAATGTAAGGTTGAAAAAACTCTGGAAAAATGGTAACAACTACTTACAATTTACTTGAAGTAATTCTTGGTTGAAACTTGAAAGATGTACACACTTAATACTATATAAAGTTACTTTCAATTTGAATAGACTTTAGTGTATTATTTAAAACTTTAATGGTTACAAACTGATAAACACTTGTATATTTTATTTGAAAGCAAATAGTCACACTATAACAATATAAAGGATCGAAATGTATATCATCTAGAAAGGATTTGTGTAAAGCATTTGTGGTCAATGAAACTGAGGTTGAGGAAAAATGAATCTTGTAATTTAGAGCATGTTGCTTGCCAATCTTGACCTCTAGATACCATATTACATTTAATAAACTGTTGAGTTTGTGTTGTCAGGTTGATGACTGTTACATCTTCACCACAGCTCTTTTTTTTAGCTAACATGGCCTAAAAGCCCATATGAGCTTTTGCCATCACTTGGCATCCATCATCGTTCTTCGTTAGTCCGTTGTTTATCATCTGTCTTTATAGAAAAACTTCTCCACTGAAACTACTGGGCTAAATGTTACCAAACTTGACCTGAATGTTCCTTAGGGATTCTAGTTGAAAAATTGTATCCAGGAATGTGATCCATCAACAAACATGCCTGCTATTGCTAAAAATAGAACATAAGGGTAAAATGCAGTTTTTTATATCTCACAAACTAAAGCAGCTACAGCAAAACTGACATAGGGCAAGAATGATCAGCAGGTCAAGGTCTTTCTCTGGTGTGATTTTCAGATAAAATGGTCAACCTTATTTGGAGTTATTGCACCTGAAATGACTGTTTTTAGCAAATTTCAAAGTTTTTGGTTATCTTGAAAACTATAATAGAGAAATTTGAAACAGTAGAACAGAACAGAACAAAAAGATCTACAATAAGTCAACAAGGCAGAGAGTTATTGCCTTTACATGACGCTTTTTTTTAACCCTTTTTGCAGATACTATAGTAGAAAGAGAAAATCTTTGAATAATAAAATGATCAGCAAAATAAGATATACATTAAGTCAACGTGGACAAAATTGTCAAAAGACCCTTTTTAGGAGTTATTGCCCTTTATATACAATTTTTACCAATTTGTTTTGCATGTCAAATTTTGTTGCAGAAGGTAAAGTAGATAGAGAGATATTGTAAATAGCAAAGATGTTCAGCAAACTAAGATCTACAAAGAAGTAACATTGTGGAAATAGTCAATTCAAACCTTATAGAAATTATTACTCTAGAAAAATGATTTTTACCAATTTTTGCAGAAATTATAATAGATAGAAACTAAAATAAGCAAAAATTTTAATCAAAATAAGATCTACAAATAAGTCAAATGGCAAAATGTTCAATTGACCCCTTATAGAAATTATTGACCTTGAAAGATGGTTTTTACCCATCTTTGCATTTTTGTAGAGAGCATTATAAATAGCTAGATATTGTACATACTAGTGGCAAAGATATTGAATACAATGAGTTCTACCAATAAGTCAACATGGCCAAAATTATTAACCGACTCCTTATCAGGACTTATTTCCATTTCATTGTGGTAGTTGGTATGTTAGCTTGCTCACTGAAGGTATTTTAAAAATTTTTGTGCATTTTACGAAGTTTGACTAAAAAAAAAATCTTGCGAAAACAGATGTGATTATTTTCCTTCCTCTTGCTGTCTTATTTGATTACAACAATATATTTATTGTTTTCCATAGTTGTTTGTTTATACTGATAGAGTCTTGGAATAATTTAGGAGTTACATTTACAGCTGTTTCAGAAATCCTGTTGAAAGATAAGCAAACATCATATTAGAGTCATATAACCATTAAAATTATCAAGTGATGGAAATCCATGGAGATCCAGACATATTGTCTGTAATTGGGAATTTTCATATCTTAATTGGTATACTATTACAATTTAACAATTAGAAAGACATGGTTGTAAATTATTTGATCAAATTCTCTTATATCTTGAATTGTTTGAAAGCAAATTACTGTTTTAAAGTAGTTATTCATCACTTAATTTAAAACAGTACATTGCGATAATAGATGACTGTCTAAGATATAGTTGTATTCCTGTAATCCTAAAATGGAAACTTTATTAACTAGTAATTATCATCATATCAATAGAACTAATCTACTAATTTCAAATTTCCTTTAAAAGTCCCATTTTTGATTTTGATGTATTCTGAGTCTTGATTTGGTGAAATCATATTTTGAATGTATTTCTGATGAGCCAATTCATGTAATTACTGATTACAAAATAATTCAGACTTCAGGCACACTGTCATGGTCTTAGAACTTTGATTCCTAATTATCCGACATTTTATACTGTCAGCATGCAATTAAAAGATTATAGAGCATGAAGCTTCGTAAATTAATTTCTTATTAATAATGTGCTAAATGTAGACATGTATTGTAAAACAGCGATAACCGAATGACGTGAGAGTCGATCAGATTTAAGGAAAGTCCTGTGTAGGAGAATTGATTTATTATTGTTTAGTTTATCAATGTGATAGTTCATACTTAAAAGTTGAAAATGATACAGCATGATTCCACCATGGGGGAAAAAAAAAGTCATTAAGAGCTTAATTTTTCTTACTACTTAAATATCAGTAGTACTATATTATGGGACGAAACTGACTAAAAAAGTCAATATTGGAAATATAAAACCATTGCCGTTCTTCATAGCTTTATTTTATATGAAAGGAATGTTCAGAATATGGTTTGTAGATTAATGTCTGTGTATACCATTTGTAAGTTAGTATATGATATATTTTGATTGATAAGTTATCTATGATTACTGTCTGTGTATACCATTTGTAAGTTAGTATATGATATATTTTTGATTGATAATTTATCTGAAGTTAGGTTTTAGGATGGGATTTTGATAAGCATTTTCTTTATTATTGATGAAATTTGAGTAGGGGCTATATTTATTGATTTTTGTCTCGCCTGCGACGAAAGTAGCAGAAAGTGAGACATAGGTATTACTATCCGGCAGCGGCAGCGTAAACTATTTGTATAAAGCTTTATATTTCAGAAGGTAGAAGACCTGGATGCTTCATACTTTGTATGCAGATACCTTATGTTACGAACTTTCCGTCTGTCATATGTCCAATGTCCTTGACCTTATTTTCATGGTTCAGCGACTGCTTGAAAAAAAAGTTTAGTTTTTTTGTTATGTAAATTTCTCACTTATTATGAGTAATAGGATAACTATATTTGGTATATGGGTTCCTTGCAACGTCTACATGTCCATCAGACAGGGTTCACCTGACCTCGGCCTCATTTCATGGATCAGCGATCAAGGTTAAAGTTACGTGATTAGGTCCGTTTCTCAGATACTACAAGCAGTAGGTCAGCTATATGTGGTGTATGGAATGATTATAAGGGATACATGTCAGTCTGGCAGGTTTCATCTGACCTTGACCTCATTTTCACGGTTCATTGGTCAGTGTTAAGTTTTTGTGTTTTGGTCTGTTTTTCTAATACTATAAGCCATTGGTCAACTATATTTGGTGTATGGAATGATTGTAAGGTGTACATGTCTGTCTGGCAGGTGTCATTTGTCCTTGACCTATTTTCATGGTTCATTGGTCAATGTTAAGTTTTTGTGTTTTGGTCTGTTTTTCTAATACTATAAGCAATAAGTCAACTATATTTGGTGTATGGAATGATTGTAAGGTGTACATGTTTAGCTGGCAGGTGTCATTTGACCTTGACCTCATATTCATGGTTCAGTGGTCAAAGTTAAGATTTTGAGTTTTGGTCTTTTTTCTAATACTATATGCAATAGGTCAACTATATTTGGTGTATGGAAATATTTTATGATCTATATGTCAGTCGTGCAGGTTTTAATTGACCTTGACCTCA